GCGTGCGCAATGCGAATTCGCCAGGGGCTTTTATCGTCCTGTATTCTCCAGGGGCTATCTATGCTGTGTATTGAAAACTAAGGCTATTTTCATTTGACAGATGTATGGTTATATTTAGCCTTTGTGGGTGAATCCAGTGGGAAGCAATTGTATGAGTGAGGAATCCACTTATTCAGTTTTGCTTTCCCTTGTGTTAGAACAATTTTCTGAAATTTTGGCTTTACGAAGTACTTTTGATATTTCTATTTGTGTGGCAAGTTTTGAGAATTTTTGTCCGATGACATTCCCACTGAAATTTCAGAGAGTCAGAAAATCAATGAGAATTGTAAATCTGAATTTACAGTAGAGGCTTCGTATAAGATACCTCGCGCTCCGAACGCTCGAGGCGGACCCCCACTCTCGGTATTTTTATCGCTTCCCGAATGTTTATGTTCCGTGGGCTTCTATAAGAGACCTATGGCCCCGATCATTTTTTAACAGGAAAAGAGAGTAGTTATAAGGAATAAACGGTGTTAAGGGTCAAACGGGAGAGACGTACGAAGTGATCATGAGGGTCTAATGACCTTAAGGGGGGTCATACCACTTTTTTCAAGTGATGGAAATATACATCGATTTTTTTTCACTTTTCCCATCGAAAAATCGTAATTTTTCGTCTGTGATTCTTCTCGAGTCCACCAACAATCCCCCAACATCAACTGCCATTCTATCGCGCGGGGTTATTTTTAGAGAGAAAAGGGAATGCGGGCGATACAAATTCAAAACATTAAACACATCTAAATTGATTAGTTATCGATATTCATTCAGTAAAAGTGAAAATTTTATTGAATTCGGGCGCAATGAGCGCGATATGTTATTTGAAACCCGCTGATCCCTATTTTTCTCCTCTCTATGGACGCGCGTAGTGGGGGCATAGGAATTCCCGGAATTCCACTCTCCTACTATCCCTAAGGTAGCTTATATACGAAGCCTCTACTGTATTTATTTCGCGAGGTTCAAAAACTTGAATAAATTCTAGGGAAAATTGAAAATGCATGGCATTTTAGTTTTCAGTATTCATATTTAATTGAAAATTCAAGTATGTTCTTCTGAAAACTAATGAATTGCTCGTGGAGCTTATTCCATATTTGATACTTATTTAATATTTGAGTGACATCATGGTTTCGAAATGAAGTCCATTTCGGGTGATTTCAGCGGTGATTTCGAACGTCAGGACAGGTGATTTCATGATTCCGAATGATTTCGAATTATTTTATTAATCCGAAATCAGTGATTTCAGAAAAAAGAGAAGTGATTGAAATCACGATGAATAGAGTTAATAAATAATGAAGGCTGAGCAAAAAGGGTCGTGTCAAATTCTAATGATGATGAAAAACGGTCCATTTTACCCCAGTCTCCACTAATAATTCACAAATAACAATCAATTTCAGAACTTTATATTAGAAAACAAAAGGTACATAAATGTCTTCACACATAGATTGTCAAAACATCAACTCATTTATTTGAAAACATTTTTTAATTTCATCAAAAATTCTCTCAGGGAGCCTCACATCTCCACTCTCAGTGATCAGAAGAGGAGGAATTGTTCTTCGATACTGGCTTATATTAATGTAGTCGTGAGAACTCATTGGCTCCGACTTTAAACTTTCAGACTTTTATCCAAAATATACCAATGGCAAAGAGCACTCATATTTTTGCTATTATTATTCACACGAGTATATTCGCTCGATAACTCTCTGCTTCGCAGAGTTTTCCCCTCTGAATAAGCGAAATTCAGCACATAACATAATCAACAAGTCTGATATTTTCCCTTCTGAAATAAACATCAATCACCGATATCGATTTCCTTGAATTCTTTCACAAAATACTTTTTCTCGCTTTGCAAAGGGTTCTTACGTCGATGACGAGTACTTCTCGTGATTTCTTCGTCACTAACTCCCTGAGTTCTATCACTACTAGTTTTGAATAATCTTTATTAAACAATCACCATATTGAGAATTTGCGAATTATTGATTCTTGATCTGACTTTTAGATTAATTATTCAATGAAAATCCGGAAAAATCGCGAAAATTTATGTGAAAATTGAAAATGTATGTCATTTTGGTTCTGAATATTCATGTTCAATTGAAATTGAATAATTTATAGAATTTCCGTCAGTCTACTAGAATCAAACTCTCTCGAATACCGCCTAACACGTTAAATTTCATAACATTTTTCCTCTAAATGGAATTCAATGTGACACTTATGAAAATTACTACTAGATTGTTAGCCATAATATCCCGAATTTTCTACTATTTTGGAGTACAAGAGACATTCAGTTGGATTTCCCCCCTCTCCCCCCTCCCCCTCTCCCAGCCACAGCCGAATTTCGATCAATAGAAATGCAGCCTTCAACGATATTCCGGGTTAATGCCATGTTCATATCAGAATTTCCTTTATTTTAACAGAAAATTTCCATTCCAGGTCGCCATGTGACTGAATGGAAGTATAACTAAAAAATTATCGAAATAACTTCAACTCTACTCCATCGCAAAATGTTAAGTATTACATTTCTGTTGGTTGACATTCCATGAAAATAGATTTTTTTTCCAACAGTGTAGTAAAAATAATCGGAATCTTCAAGGGGAGACTACTATATGAGTTTTAAAAGTCGTGGCCTATTGGAATAAGATTTCTCATGCATTGAAGAATGATTTTATATGTGTAAAAACGAATTATTAATGCAAAAAATTAATTGCTCATTGTTCGTTTGCCCCGCAGACGCTCAAAATATTAAAAACAACGCTTCCCCCTAGCCATTTAAAAAAATAAATTTTAACTGTATCAATATAAAAAAAATTATCAGTCAAATTCAACTAAAGACGACAATCACAACACTAAACAATCACAACAGGCAAGTTTTCAAAAAATTTTGAGATGAGAGTAAAAGGATTGCTTTGATAAGAAGTGAGAGTTACCACTCGAAACGTTGGCAAAAGGAAATTGATTTTTTCTATTAATTCATTGTATAATTAATACAGGCGATTGGCAAAATAATTCAGCTAGCTCATATAATTTTCTAACTCGTTTTCCTTTTTGGAAATTCTATCGTATTTAATTACCACTGAAATTTGAAGAAATTTCGTCATTGTAAATTCAGAATTTCGTGGAAAAATCAAAGAGAACTATAAATTCGAGTTCCATTTTTACAGAAAATGAGTAGAAAACCAGAAAATTCCGGTAAATACCTATATTCTTGAATTTTCAGGACAGTGACACTCCATGCGATTTAGGGGGAAAAAATCATGAAATTTCAGATTCCACTGAAAATTCATTGTAATTTGGCACTGAATATTCATATATTAAATTAAAAATTTAATTAAATTAAGGAATTCTAGTCTGCATGCTGCTTTAAATCCTGGAATTTTACTGAACTTTCAGTAAAACCTTAAATTTTATTATTTTTTCCCCTAAATCCCAGTCAGTGTCATTGTCCTGAAAATTAGTAGTCAACTATTCATGAAATTTAATTTTTTTTTCTAACAATGTATTAGTCAACAGCTGTCCAGTCATAATCAAGCTTTAATACGTAACAAAATTTTTCTGCGTGAAGAATTCTACCTCATTTCCAACCCAATTGTTTCGGCATTAAATTGGAAGAGAATTCGTTTCGATATGAATACCATCAGCTGGCTCACCAATGTAAATTATACATCCCTGGGTGATGACAAAATGAGACAGGCTTGCGCAATTTCCATGAGAAAAAAAGGAGGAACGAAGATATATTCCAATCCTGAGGCAATTTCAACGAAGGGAATACGACGTAGTTGGGTGCTTCCATGTGAAGTACGTGTAACGGTGAAACGACAAAATGTTCAACCCATTGAAATTTAATCCACCAAGCAGTGGTAAACGAGGAGGTGGTGGTGTAAAGAGCACAATGGGAACCACGAGAAAATAGCGGTGATATAATCGGTTATCGGTAACTATATAACCGTCGTATACCACAGTTGCACTCCGGAATCATTAAATAAAGATGGGAAATGGCGGCCTTTGTCTAACGTTGTAGCGACGTCGGATGAGTTCGTTGACATTTCGATCAAGCATAACACAACGGTTCCGGAAAATCCTGATACTTCTGTATGCTTATTGTAAATGATTAACGTGAACGGCGAGAATTAAAGAGAATTATGGGAACGCTATGTTGTGTTGAACTTGCAGAGAGTACCGGAGGTACAAATGATACAGAATATCAAAGTTTCATTGTCCCATTCATTACGCTCATTCAAAACTTTGCCAGTACAGTACCAACTGTTGCCTCTAAACATTGTATAACACAGTTGGAGCTATCGTGATGACCACGAATTCCAGCCGGCAATACATGTATCCAACACCCGAAAATTTCGGATGCATTCGATATTTCAGGACCGTAGGGTTGAAAATTGTGGCTGAAATTTCTGGTATTGTTTTTGGAAGTTTTCATGCGGTGACAATTACACTAGAATTTCAAGGAATTTCATGTTTAAAAATTCACAATTGATGAAAGACTCAGTACACCCAAAAAAAAAATTACTTTTGATCAGTAGAAAAAGTACTTGTACAGTACCAAGGGGTTTCTGGGGAAAAGGCACATTTTTGTACTTCCTCGAAGTTACAAAACAACTTGATGCAAGTATCATGCGTACTGTGTAGTGGTGAGAGGTACCTCAGTACTTGTCACGGTTCTAGGAAAGATGTTCCCCGGAAAATCGTTCCCGGAAAATCGTTCCCCGAAAAATCGTTCCCCTGGAAATTCGTTCCCCAGAAAAATGTACCCTAAAAAATGGACCCGGACAAAATGGTTGTTCCATTGGTCCATTGTCATGGACTGTTGTTACAACAGTTTTTGGAGTAGGGTGGGGGGTATTTGCGTTCCACATTTTTCAGGTAGGCTAATGGAAATAATGGATGGAATGGATTTTGGATAGGTGGGAATTCCTTCTCAATATATTAGTCTACAAATAATTCGAGAAAAAATTCAGATATTTTCAGACCAGGAATCGAACCCGGGACCTTCCGATTACCAGTCGGGTGCTCTTCCCAGCTGAGCTATCCGAATATATACTGATTTCCATTCAAATTATTTGTCCATATTGAGCCACACCGTCCTTCATACGGCAACCATTTTTACAACAGTTTTTCAAGGTAAACACTCATCACCTAAATGAATAAATATAGATGAACACGAAAGATTACGAATAAAGGGAGATTTTGTTGGCCATCCTAACAAAATAGGGAACAAATTTCCGGGGAACAATTTTCCAGGGGAACAATTTTCCAGGGAACAATTTTCCGGGAACGGTTTTCCGGGAACGGTTTTCCGGGAACGATTTTCCGGGGAACATCTATCCGGGTACCCTAGTCACAAGTATTTTATTAATTAGGACAAGTAAAAAAATTACTTGTACTGAGTACCTGGCTGGTTCTTTTCAAAAGTACCAAATAAACTCAATATAAGTTGAGTATAAGAACTCAAAAATGTTTTGCTACCTCTTCTAAAAACCGAATTTCGTCAAAAATTCAAAAATCCAAATAATTTCCGTTTTGTGAGTAATAAAATTGAAAAGACATTGAAAATAATTTTTCGAAGCCTTTTAAATGTTGATAACAACATAAAACATAAAAATCTCAACGAATTGAAATTTTGTAGGTTGGAAGCATAATAATTCTCGAAAGCATCCATAAAAATCTATTGATTTTTTCCTACGAAATAACTTCTGCTGAACATTTCTATTTACAAAAATGCATAAGAAAGCCCATTTCATCCGGTAATAATATTCACTTTTTTCAATAAAGTAATCAATTGGAAGTACTGAAATGAAGTCCTAAAAGTACTTGAGAGAAGTTGAAAAATTACTTTTCACTAGATCCAGATCCAGATCTAGATTTCCACTCGATCGGCAGATGTGGTACTTCACCCAAGGACACAAAATGTACTTGGGACGAGTATTTTTAGAACTTTTGAAACGTGAAGTTCCCCCAAGTACTGGTTTGTACTGGTGAGAAGTAATTTTTTTTTAGGTGTAGAAAGTGTAAATTTGCGTCCAATTATTCAACACTCCGTCGGTCGCGTGGGTATTTCGACCAAATTCGTGGAATTTCGAGAAGAAAAAATTGGAAATAAAATAGATCTTAGACGAAACCCAGCTTGTGTGACGGCTGAAACTACTTGTTTTTATTACAAAAGTTACTGATAAAAAGACGAAAAAAATAAAATAGGACATGGTTTTGAAAATTCGGTAATATGAGCATCTAGGGGGTCAAAAAAAAAATTCAAAATATTCTTATAGATGGTGGAAAATCGAAAATTTTAACGTGTCATAAATCAAAATCGGGTGAATACACGAAGAAAATTATTTGGTGAATTTCACCAATTAGTTGTAGAATTTCATTGACTTTTTAGTGAACTTCGATAGTGATTTCATGTGTTTTTTTCAACAGCGCACAATATTAATAATATACGACGAAAATTTCCGGTATTCTTGCAAATTGTTCATCATTTGAATAGAAATTTTCCTAGGAATTTCCGAAGTTTGTAGGAATTTTGCTCAAATTCCTAGAAAATCCATCATTGAAAATTTACAATTTAATGGAAAAATCAATAGAAACGGAAATTTTTAGTCCAATAACTCCATGACAATTAATAAAAACAGAGAAAATTCTGGCACAATTCAATTAATTTAAAATTCAGTGTAATTTAGGACTGAATATTCATTTCTTAATTGTAAAATTTATGCAAGTTGTGACATTTTGGTCTTCCTACTGCCAAAACGTAGAATCAATTAATTGAGTTTTCAGTAAAATTCCAAATTTCAATACTGTACCCCCCTTAATCGAATTCAGTATCGTTTTTCGGAAACTAACACAAAAAAGGTCATCAAATTTCCGTTCTTATATCACAGACCCAGAAAATTTTTAGTTCCAACACTGGAATTTTTACTGACGCTTTCCGTGTAGAGGTGGATTGGTGGACTGAACGCTTACCTCTACTACTCGCCGATGGGATTCCCCTTCGTCCCTCGAGGACCAATTTCTACTTGCAATATGCAATAGATGCGTCTCACACAGTATTTCTAGTAATTTAAATTTTAACTCCACTCAATATCAGAAATGATTAGAAATTCTGAGAGGATAAAAATTATACTCTTTCCCATCCAAAAATCCAAAAATCCAAAATTTTCAGTCAATAGAATTGCACCATTGAACGTTATTTTGTATAGCCTACACGGTGTTCACACTTTAAAAATTATCGGTCTTAAATTATCCTCTCGCGTACGTTCGCGTACTTACGTTTGAAATTGATTATTTTCAAATCCATGAAGAATAACTTGACCAGACCAACAAAATTGGAAACCGATTGTAGCTTTAATTAGATATCGATTTCAAGATTTTCCACTCATTAAAAATAATCGCATTTGAAATTTCCCCTAATGCTTTCAGTGTAGAGTTGGATTGGTGGACTGAACACTTATCTCTACTACTCACCGATGGGAAATTCTCCTTCGCCCCTTGAATAAAATTTTTTTTACGGATTTTCGCTTTTTTAATCAACAACTCTTAAATATAGCGTCGGAGAGAAAACTGTTATTACAGTTTTCCTCTCCAAATGAGCCCCTCAAACTACCCTCACGAGGGCGACATTTCATTTAGGGACACCCTGTATATAGAAAGTAAAAGATCTTACAGACACGGAGAGAAATTTTCAGTAAAAATTACGGAACGCTCCGGAAACATTCCGTGACAGTTCCGTAAAATTTCCTACAACCACATTTCGCTCCGGAATTACGGAAAAGATACGTAATTTTTATTGAATATTTCTCTCCGTGGATGAAATTCCAACTTTTCATCTCCCAACTGGTAGTTTCACCTCACACTGTTAAAAATTTTCATTTGAATTTTTCATGTCCAATCTCAGAAATTTTCATCATATTTAATTCCACTGAAATTTTAGGAAACTTTGTCATTAAAAAAACAAATATTCCACTAATTTTCAGTTTAAATGATCTGAAAATCGCTAAAATACTTGATTTGTCTGTTCAATTATTCCGTGAAAATTCTGCAAAATCAGGAAAACTTCAAGGAAAAATTAAAAATTCATGTGATTTTATTTCCGAATATTCATGTTCCATTGATGAAAATTCCATCAAATTGTGAAATTTCCGTCTTACTTTCACTGAAAACTCATGAATTGCCGCGAATTCTACGTTAAACTTGAAATTCCATAGTCATTTTTCCCGTAAATTGCATTCAATGTCGCTCATGAGATTTAGTACCATATTTTCTATGAAATTTCGAAAAATTTCCAACAGTGTAGGGTTTGGTCAATTCTTTTGACCAAATTTGGATGAGAGAATCAATCTCTCCAATACACGGAGAGAAATGTACGAGAAAAATTACCGTGCCCGCACAGTAAAGTTGGTTCAGATGGTCTTTCCAGGCCAAATGTACCGCAAAGAGTAGGAAAAAGTACTGTTGCACGAGTCATTTTTCGGATAAATGTGGGGAAAAATTCTTGTGCAGCACGGTAAAATCGAAGCGACAGTGAATTTTTACGAGAAATACGAGAAAAATTATGACACTGACTGGCAAATTTTTCCGGTGCTCTACCAGAATCCTAGGACCCGATCGCGCATTCGTAAGATTTCGGTACTCTTCGTCCCCCCTCCGCAACCACGAACATCGACTCAACGTGACCAGATGATTTATTCCGTCGCCTCCTCTAGCCTCCTCTCTCACATATCTCCTTACTGAAACCCCAGGTTAATGTTTTTCATAATATCAATTCAGTGAAATATTAATTAGTGTTGTGATAAAACGGTTAAGAAATAAAATAAGTGCCCTTTATTTTCGCTTCATGAGGTGTATAACGCTGTAGATATACATTGGCCTGTCAAACGTTCCACATACGTTTGCCGCGCATTCCGCTTTTAATATGGGAGAGAGGATATGGAGGAGAGGTTAAAATAAAATTAATAGGATGATATGCTGAATGACAATGTTTACTCATTTTTAACTATTGAATGAAATTTATCATGTAATAGAAAACAGTCAGGGATCAAGCTTTTATTGTGCGTTACCGGAATTTTTACTATGCAGCACCGGAATTTTTCTGGTGCTAGACAATTGAACCCACTTTACCAGACGGCACGGTAATTTTTGCCTGAATTTCGCCTGAAAAATTCTGGAATTTTTTTCTCTGTGTACCACTTGAACTGCAAAATTAATAATGTCATTTCCTCAAGGTCACCTGCATGAACACGAAGTTGTCAAATCATTGAGAACAATTTTTCAAACTTCAAAACTTGACTCTTCCGTTTAGTTGCAATAAACTTACCGGGAAATACCCGATAATTGAGGAGCTCTTATGGTATTGTAATGGTGAGTAGGAATCATGAATCCAGAGTCCAGACGTAGACACAGTCACCCCATTATTATAAGTAATTATTTTTTCGTGAATTATCACATTTTTAATTTTATGATTTTATTTTATGCATTCTAATATTCCATATAAAATGCAATATTATTTCCCAAAAAACATCTGTTCTTTTCTCACTCATAAAACAAGTAGAATAAAACTCAAAATAGAAAGAAAATGACGTAAAACAGAAGTGGAAATTTGGACTATCTCAAAAAAAGTCGACATGTGCTAGTGGAATTTTCCCGTCATCTTCAGATGGTACTTAAAAGTGACTTTGACAAATGGTAATAGGGCCAACTTGAAAACCGATGATGCAGCTGTTGCCATCGATCAGGTGAACATTCTTCAAATGCTGTGACGTAATGTAGGTCTTAATTCTCGGATGACTCAAAATCCAATTTTTATGTGCAGTTGAGCGTGGATGAAAATACGTCCGACAGTGCCTAGTCACGAGAATGCGCTATTGTGCGATCGCAATAAATTTCATCAGCGCTATCCGCAGTATCTGAGTACTTCATCCAAACTGCATTTTCAATTCGGAGAGCAATGAATCATCGGGGAGCCGACGTGACCTTTGCTTGAGAACAGTTTTAGATACATTATGGATGTGCAATAAAACAAAAGACACGGCAAGTTGCATG